CGCTCAGTGGCCGTGCTGAGCCAGCCCACCTGGTCACACTCCCTGTCCTCTCCGCCTCCCACCGCCTGCAACTTAACTTCTCCCTGCCTCTGTCTGATACTCTGGGATGTGGAGACTGATGAGCCCTCCTTCCGTATAGTGTGGGATGAACTGCTCTCCCATATGGTTTGCATGCAGTCAGAGCTCAGCACGTGACTCAGGGAACGCATGCATAAGGTGGAGTGTGCAAAGCAGGAGCACTCTGCAGGAGGCGTGTGTTCCCCGTGGCACAGCTCCCTGCGGAAGCGGGGTTTCCTGGGCCCAGCGCTCAGGCAGTGACTGTCCCGGGCGAGGCTTCCCTCCAGCGCAGGTGTGCGCAGTGTCCACTCCGCCCTCGAGCCCACGAGCCTTTTGTGCCTTTTCCTGGGTGCACGGATCACCCATCCTGCCCCTGAGGGGTCGAGATAAAGCTGCTCCTTTCCCGCCAACCTCTGGTGCGTCCCTGCAGACCCAGGTGACTAAGGGCGCCAGCCCTTCACGGCGGGCAGGTGGGTGAGCCGCAGAGCCCGCCAGCTTCCCTGGGCTGACGGCAAATGGGTCTTTAACCTCGGGTTGAAAAGAAACTTGTCAGCAAGTGATTTGACCTTTGGTTCTAGCATTTGCCGCCATGTCCTTTTATTATCTGCCACAGTGGCAGCTCTCTGGGCTGGCCCTGCCTGACAGGTGGGGGTGGAGAGACTGGTGTCCGCTGAGGCCGGTGACATGCGGGGGCAGTGGTTCTGGCCTGCGGCACCGGACGCTCGCTCCTTACACGGCTGCTGGGGAGGCTGGACGCGGCTCTCTGTGATGTGGGACCGAGCCGACGGCTGGGGACAGTGGACGGGGTCCCAGCACAGTGAATGAAGGGACCCTGACGCGGTTAACGAGCCTTCCAAGGAGAGTCACTGCATGGACCCCGGTCCCCCGGTTGTAAAATGGGGCGTCTCCGACCCTTTCTCACGAAAGGGTTTTCCCCATGTTTTTCATCATCCATCCCGTGGAATCCACATTCTAAGCAAAGAGGCATTCGCGTTCACATGCACACGCACACACACGCACACACGCACACACAGGGTCTGTAGAAACAAGATCATGTTGCACTAGCCGTCGTCTTCTGTTTTCACTGTGTGAGTGGATGTCGGCTTACACCCTCGTTATTAATGGCCACATTAGGGTTCCATCGAATAATCAATGCATCATCATTTACATAACCAACTCCATAATCACGGTGTTTGGGTTGTTTCACCGTGATTTGAATATTTATCTTTTGCACGGCTGTCTAGCGATCTGCCTGGCACAGGTTCCCAGGAAAGGGACGGCTGGGCCCGTGGGAATGTGCGTGTTAGCTCTGGATTTCTGTCACTCCACTGGCCTGCGTGGTGGCTGTCCCCATCCCCCCTCCAGGTGGTGGCACACCTGGAAATCTTTGCTCCTCCAATACATGGGAAATGATGTCCACGCTCCGTTTACTCTGGAGTCTTTGAAACATCCTGTCACTGTCCTCACTTCATCAGAGCACGGGGGGCAGCTCATCGTGCGTTTCCTGTTTGGCGCGTTCAGAAGCGGGGTCCTCCCTAGCTGGCCTCTGGGGCAGCTGGACAGGAGGCACAGGGAGGACGGCCACGATGGGATCTTTAATGATCTCTAATGTTGACACCAAGGTGCTGGAAATCACCGGGGAGACAAAAGTCGGATGCGTCAGGATCGTTCCTCCACCTGGGCCGGGCTGGGCACACGGTGCAGAGAGGGTGACCAGTGGCCGGCAGGGGGGGTGGGACAGTGGTGGAAAGATTTATGATCGCTCGCTCTTGCCACAGAAGGACGGGAGGCCGTGATGAGAGAAGTTGAAGGGCATTTAATTTACAAAGAACTTTCTTGCCGGCCGTGGAGGCCGCCGCGAGGAGGAAGCACTGCGTGCGGAGACCCGCGGCCACAGACACATGTCCCTCTCAGCGCGACGGCAAATTCGCTTCCCCCTGATGCTCTCGGCATCTTCCGGTGCTCGCATCGTGTCCGCGGAGGCGGGTGGGTCTGTGGAGACAGGCTGCTCCTCGGGGAGGACGTGACCACCCAGGCGTGGACACACACAGGGGAGCAGAGTGAGGCCGACCCTGCAGGGGCGCGGGCTGGGCCCCCCACGGTGGCCCTGGCAGCCCCCCCCACGGTGGCCCTGGCAGCCCCCCCCACGGTGGCCCTGGCAGCCCCCCCCACGGTGGCCCTGGCAGCCCCCAGGCCCTGCTGGGCCCCCTCAACCGCTCAGCGTCTCTGCCCCCTTTCCTTTCCTCCTGGCAGCTGCATCCCGCAGGCCCAGGGCAGCAGAGTGGTCCCTGCCGGAGACTCCCCCACAAGAGCTCCCCGAGCCCAGCTTCCCGCTTCCTGGGCTGGGGGTTCTCATGGGTGGGGACGAGGCTGAGCAGGCGTCTGTTTGGGGTACACTTGAGCCCCTGACCCTCGCTCCCCTTGGCGTCCAGAGCCAGGCAGAGGCAGCTGACTCTGGCCCACAGTTCTAACAGAGGCCTTCTGACCCCACCCAGGCACCTGCTCGAAGCTCCGGGGAAGAGACACCTGAGACCCAAGGAGGACCTGCTGTGGTGCCCCTGTGCAAGAAGCCCTCTAGAGCAGCCTGGACTCAGGGGAGGACTGCCCGTTGAGGGCCTGGCTGGAGGGGGGTGTGCCAGATGCAGTGTGGGACCAAGGTCAAGGGTCTGGCCTTTGTACCTGGCGGGAGTCCTGCAGCTGGCAGGGCCTGGCTGGCTGCAACCCAGAGACCCCAGCCCCGTGGAGATGCCCTGGCAGGGCCAGCCCGCCCCAGCACGGGCCTCCTGGGAGGAGCCGACGGGGGCCGTGGAGCAATGCGAGGTCTTGGGGGTGGCACGTTGGGATGGCTTTGAAAACCCTTCTGTGGTTGTCAGGTGTCCTGAGGAAGGTTTGAGTTGAATGAGGACGTGTCCCCTGCCCTGAGGATTTCCAAAGGGGGGGGCTCCTGGCTGCCACTTGGAGAGGGAGCATGGAGGCCATGGGACGGGGCTGCTTTCTGTCCATGCCGGCTTTGAGGACATTCGTTCCCAGATGGTGTCCTCTGCTGGGACTTCTGCCTAGACACAGAGCCTAGTGTCGGGTCCCTCCCAGAGCACCGTGGCTCTTTGTTCCGACTTTGTCAGAAGTCACCTTGCATTTTAATGACAGAGTGTTCCTTCAGGACTATGGCTTTGTTAGTTAATTGAGTATTACTGGTATTTTTCTGAAAAATATGGTTTTTTTTTTCCACAATGTGGTTTTGTATTTAGTTTCTCAACAAATTGCCTGAAATCTTTTTCAAAACTGTGTTTTATTGTTGATAAATTGAAAGTTTCTCAACAAATTGCCTGAAATCTTTTTCAAAACTGTGTTTTATTGTTGATAAATTGAAAATCTTCATATCTTTAATTATCTCTTTTCTGTAGACCATACTATCATAATTAACCTGGTAAATCCAGAGGCAATTCTAAAATGGAGGGTTATTTTAACTTTTTTGATACGTACATGTTTCAACAGAGCAGGGCTCAGGAGAGGGATGGGCCGCTGCCGGTGTCTTCCAGCTCGACCCTGTGCTGACGGGTGGGGCTCAGACCAGCTCAGCTCTGCCTCCCAGGCCACGAGGGAGCACGAAGCTGGGAGCAGAGATGGGGTCTACCCCGCCCAGCCAGACTTGCTTCGCTGTAGCCCTTACTAATATTTCTTTATTAAAATAAAACATTGTGAGGCAAACTGCTAACCTGGAGGGACAGCTGGTGAGCAGGTGCCAACTGGGTGGCCCTAGGCAGAGTGGGGTGCAGGTGGGACCCGTGCTTTCCCCGAGCAGACACTGCACCTGGGGGTCACCTACCTTGGCAGCTGCAGCTGGCCCAAGACTGACAGAGACTCTGCGAGGAGAGAGTTCTGGAAGAACTCAGCAAGGATTCAGGGCCTGGCATGACCAGGGGTGTCGGGCTGCTGCCTGTGCAGCTGGGAGGGAGGCCGTGTGCCCCCCACCCCACTGTTCCGGTTCTAAATGCGAACGGTGCAGCAACGCCCTGTTCAGTGCATTGATCGCAAAGGTGCCACTCACTTCCTTAGACTCTCCAGAAATGGAGTGGCTGGTCAAAGGTCACGCCCACTGCCCAGAAGTGTGTCCTCCATCTGCAGCACGGCACAGTCCTTTCTGGAAGGCAGGTTCCTGGTCAGACTTCACTTCTCAAATGAACCGTGTGGCGGCTTCTGAGGGCGACCGTGACAAGTTATCACGGACTCGGTGGCTGAGCACAGCAGAAACCTACGGTCTCGCAGTTCTGGAGGCTGGAATGCAAGATGAGGCTGTGAGCTGGGTGGTTCCTTCTGGGCACTGCAGGGACACCTGTTCACGGCCCGCCCAGCTCTGGCAGTCACCCCGGTCCTCGGCTTGTGGACGCATCTCTCCCTCTCTGCCTCCGTCCTCATGTGGCCTTCTCCCCCTCGTCCATGGGTTAAGTCCCCCTCCTTTCTCTTATAGGGGCACCAGTCATTGGGTTTAGGGTCCACCCTAGACCCAGAATGTTCTCATACTGAGATCCTTCTTTTTTCTTTTTGAGACAGAGTCTCACTCTGTTGTCCAGGCTAGAGTACCATGGCATCAGCCTCGCTCACAGCAACCTCAAACCCCTGGGCTCAAGCAATCCTTTTGCCTCAGCCTCCCGAGTAGCTGGGACTACAGGCATGTGCCACCATGCCCAGTTAATTTTTATGTATATACTTTTAGTTGTCCAGCTAATTTCTTTCTATTTTTTTAGTAGAGACAGGGGTCTCACTCTTGCTCAGGCTGGTCTCGACTCCTGAGCTCAAACGATTGGCCCACCTTGGCCTCCCAGAGTGCTAGGGTTACAGGTGTGAGCCACCTCGCCCAGCCCATACTGAGATCCTTAACATGATCACATCTGCAAAGACCCCATTTCCAAATCAAGTCACACTCCCAGGTGTGGGGTTGAGACATGGATCCACCAGTGAACCCACTACCCTCGACTTCCACATCTTCCCTCGAACTGCTGTGTTTGCAAACTGAGGGGTTGGCCCCTAGCCAGGCTAGAAGGTAGCCCCGGGCAGGGCATGTTCTGAGGAGGGAGCCTCAGGGCTGGGTGGGCTGGATGTTCCCGAAGCTGGCCAGCTCGGGCTGGGGCCACGGCCAGCTCTGGCCCCAGGTCGAGGGAGCCCCTGGCCACCCCGCCCCGAGTCCCTGCTACCTTCCCCATGAGCCCTGCGCATGCAGCTGGGGCCGGGCTGTTTTCCGGCGTCCTCCCTTGACAAGCTTCATCCTCGGGGACATTTTTCTACAGCAGAAATGGAGACCAGACAGAAACAACTGTACAGGGACATTTTTCCTCTTTCTGAATGTGACATTAGAAAACATAAGAAAGTTAAAGTACACCCTGCGTTGGAGGAGGGTGGTGACATTCCCGTCTGAGTCTCCAGGGTTGGGAGTGATGGATTAGCTCTGCAGTGACGCCGGGAGGCTCAGCCTGGCGCTACCGCTACCGGAGGGCCAAGTCCTCAGTGCGCAGCGCTCCTGCCTGCAGACAGTGCCGCTCCCTCCCGCTAGGAGGCCCCCTGGCTTTGCCAACACCTGACCGTCCTGGTCCTCGGGAGTCAGCCCGAACACAAGTGAGTGCACAGCCACCTCCAGGGACCTTTCTGCTGTGTCCCCGCGTCACACGGTGGGAAGTGGGAGGTGCAAGAACTCCCGTCCAGAGCTGCCCTTTTGGGACACACAGACAGAGCTGATGAGGGGAAACGGCCATGTGCTGGGCGCCTCCTTCCTCTCCAAAGCCTGCCCGGTTGCTGGGCGCCCCGGCGATGGGTCCAGCACCATGCTTGGGCTGCCTGGGGTCACATGCTCATCACAGGCCTCCTGTAAGAACGGGCTGAGCCAAGGCGTTTTCAGGAAAATGGGGATTTTCTGCTTAAAGGTCATTTTTCCCTACAGGACTTTCTTCCCAAACTGCAGAACCCTTCTGGCTATAAGGACAGAGTCGTGCTGGAACAGGAAGTTGGACAGACCTGGAGGTGCACGCACCCTCCCAAGGACGCAGGTATCTGCCTACTCCCTCCCCGCGGCGCCCCCGCCCGCTTGCTGTGGGTTCCCGGGGGGACGGGACGGAGGTGGGAGCTTCTGCCAGCTGCTGCTTCGGCATGGAGCGGGAGGATCGAGGCGTGACAGGAACTGGAATCCCGGATTGCATTGGCCAGGCCAGGGATGTAGTTCCAGGTGTGACTGTGTGTGGGGTGTGTGTGCACACGTGTGTGCAGACATGTGTGTGCTTCCCCGAAGAGAGCGAGACACAGACAGAAGAATTAGCGAGAACATCACGAGTCCTTCCCGGGTCTCTGCTGGAAGACTCGGCCTTCCTACCCAGCTGGCTCCTTCCTGACTCAGTGGGCCCATCTGTAAACGCAAATCGTTTCCCCACCTGCCTCCCCCGGCTGCTGTCAACATTAGGTGAGAAGGCGAATGATAAAATGGCGGAGGTGGAGATGCCTGGGGGAGCAGAAGCTGCGCACGCTTGCGAGGCTGCTCTGACGTCTCGGATGTGCGCCGCCCCGGCCAGACGTCTGGGGACACCTCTGATCGTCCTTGTGACCCCAGTGCGTATCTTGACTGTCTCTAAACAAGTCGAGTTCGATTTAAGGCAAGGAGACGCATGAGGGGGGAGGCGGTGGGGCGGGCAGCATTGCTCCCCCTGCCACGGCGTGGCCTCACTGTAGCCCCCACCACCCCGGTCTCCCCGCTTCTCCAGCCTTCGAGCCTGAGCCGTGCAGAGCGGGGCTGGGAAGCGCATGGTAGATGATCGTATCTGAAATCATCACATAAAATGTTATTATAACTATTTTCCATTTAAAATAAAATGGATGAATATTTAGCAACAGAGATGGAGATGGACACCCTCCCTTGGGCTCTGTGTCAGACAGTCACGCTTCACCTGCGGTCCCCGGGGAGCCCCCACGCAGGGGCACAGAGAGGGACGCCCGCGGTGGGCTGCTCTCGGCGGACTGCGCAGCGTGGCCGCTCATGGGTTCGTGGGCCACGGCATCCCAGCTGCGGGAACATCCCTCTCGCGAGGGGGCTCTACAGAGCCCCGAGGAGAGGACTGTGGGTGGAAGATGTTACTCACCATGCCAACAGGATCTGGCAACCAGAAACGGTGACACTTCGAGCCCGGGACGAGCTCTGCGCCAGCTATAGATAAGTCAGCAAAACAGCCGGTAAAGTCAGAGAGACTCCAACTGGGTTTGACAAGAAGAAATTGGGCCAGCAGATTCGACGTTATTAGGAAGGCTGCACGAGATACAGATTTACAGGCCCTGTTCCTTCTGAAAAGGAATCGTGCTGCGGGAGGTTTACACAGAACAGCACCGTGCACCCACCTCAACGACCTGCAGACGTGTTTTGGCGAAAGTTGCCTGTGTCATCACCTCCGTGACCAAGATGCATTATGGTTTCTTCACCCCAAAAGCTTCTCTTCTGCTTCCTCTCCCCACTTTTAGCCCTGGGCAAATACTGCTCTGCTTCTGTTACTGTAGATGGATTTCGCACAAACGGAACCACACGGTTTATCTTCATTAGTGTCTGGCTGCTTTTTCTCGGCATAAGGATTTTGAGACTCGTTTATGTTGTGTGTATAAGAAGATAAATTCTTTCCTGTTACTAGGAACTGTTCCAGTGTTTGGCTAAGCCACAGTTACTCATCTACCCATCTGTTGATGGAAATTTGGGTTGCACCCAGTTTTCACTTTGTGAATAAAGTGGTATAAATAATCATGCCCACATTTTTTTGTGTGCGTGAACATAAGTTTTCATTTCTCTTGGATAATACTTGTGAGTGCAAGTGCTTGCTGAGTGCATGTGTGACTTTACAAGAAACTTTGAGCACAGGCAGCTCATGCCTGTAATCCCAGCACTGTAGGAGGCCAAGGAAGGAGGACTCCTTGAGGCCCGGAGTTCAAGATCAACCTGGGCAACATAGCAAGACCCCATCTCTACCAAAAAAATTTTTAAAAAATTAGCAGGGCTTGGTGGTGCATGCTACTTGGGAAGCTAAAGCAGGAGGATTGCTTGAGCCCAGGAATTGACAGCTACAGTGAGCTATAATGGTGCCACTGCACTCCGGCCTGGGCGAGAGAGAGAACCTGTCTCAAAACAAACAACACACACACACACACACACACACACATACACTGCCAAACTCTTTCCCAAAGTGGTTGTACCGCTTCATGCCCACCAAACATACATGAGAGCTGCTTTCCCTACACCCTGATAGAGGGTGTAGATTGGAACTGTCAGTCTTTGTAAGTTTAGCAGCACTAATATGTATGTAGTAGTGTCTCACTGTGGCTTTGATTTGCATTTCCTAATGATGAATGACATGGAGTTTGTTTTCGTGTGCTTATTGATCATTCATTTATCTTATTTTGCAAAGCGTTTGTTCAGATCTTTTGTTTATTTTAAAAGAAATCTTGGCCAGGCAAGGTGGCTCACGCCTGTAATCCTAGCACTCTGGGAGGCCGAGGCGGGAGGATTGCTCAAGGTCAAGAGTTCGAAACCAGCCTGAGCAAGATCGAGACCCCGTCTCTACTAAAAATAGAAAGAAATTAATTGGCCAACTAAAAATATATAGAAAAAATTAGCTAGGCATGGTGGCACATGCCTGTAGTCTCAGCTACTCCGGAGGCTGAGGCAGGAGGATTGCTTGAGCCCAGGAGTTTGAGGTTGCTGTGAGCTAGGCTGACGGCACGGCACTCTAGGCTGGGCAACAGAGTGAGACTCTGTCTCAAAAAAAAAGAAAAAAAAGAAATCTTTTTCTTTTTGGAGTGTAAGAATTCCTGATATATTCTGGATTTAAGTCCTTTTGTCAAAAATATGCATTGCGAATCTTTTCTTCCAATCTGTGGCCTATCCTTCATTTATTAAATGGTGTCCTTGTACAATTAATTTTAATTCTAATGAAGTTCAATTTTTATTTATTTATTTTTGGCTCATAATTCTTGGGTCCTACTTAAGGAAACTTCCTTTCCCAAGGTCTCAAAGATGTTTTAAGATTTTTTTCCCTAGAAGTTTTATAATTCTCGTTTCTACATTTAGCACTGTATTTTTCCCCACTTTTATTTTTTGAGGCTTGTGGTTTATTAAAACATGAAACTCTCCAAAGGAGAATCACTGAAATTGTGGAATATTTTATTTGTTGACATTAAATAATGTTTTAACAGAGAAAAGTAATAAGATTTTTCTGTTCTCAAGATAATTACAGAATGTATAAAAAAATATATGTTAAATAATAGTCTGCTTCCGGCAGTGTAAGTCGGGAAAGAGACACAAATTTAAAATTACTGAACGATCACTTTCTACCCATACTGCCACTGTGTCTCTGTGACAGTGTGTGTAACCCAGGCATTGTCAAAACTCTACTAGCAGCAATAACAGGGCGCGGTGATAATTACACCTTCCCGCCACCTTTTTCCTTTTAGGCAAAGGCTTTGCCTGCTTTGGGGGTCATGTTATGATTGTGGGTTTGGAAGTTTTTTGTTTCGTTTACTTAAACTCTTTAGTTTCAGGCAACGGTAGAGTCACATGCAGCTAAATAACACAGAGAAACCCCACACACCCTTTCCCCAGCGGTGACGCTGTGCAAAACCATGGTCCATGTCACAACCAGGGTATTGACACGGACACGCCCAAGACTCAGACATTTCCATCTGTCCGAGGCCCTGCACCTGCCTTTCCACAGCCAGCCCCCCACCCCGCACCCACCCTCCTTAACCCCTGGAAGCCCCTGTCTGCTCCCCAGCTCTGGAGTGGTGTCATTTGAAGAACGTTACATAAATAGAGCCACACAGGATGTGACCTTTTGGGGACTGGCTTTGTCTTCACTGAGCACAATTCTCTGGAAGTTTGCTCAGCTTGTTGCATGGGTCAGTAGCGAGTTCCTCTTACTGTTGAGCAGTAGTATTCCGAGGTGCGCAGTGTGGACGCCTCCCAGCCTGTTTAAGCCCTCACGCTTTGAAGGACATCTAGGTGGTTTCCAGTTCTTGTCGCTTACGATACAGGTGCTGCGCACGTTCACGCAGTTTAACCCTTGTTAAGAAAATGTTAAGAGCTTCACTGAGGTGTGTTGACATACAGTAATGGCACATGCTCAAAGTATGCATTTTCCATCGTCACACACGTACATACCTGTGACAACATCCTGACAGTCATGATCACAAATGTGCAGATCATCCCCAAAGCTGCTCCCGCTCTTTGTAATCCCTCCGTCCCGTCTTACCCACTCCCCCGCCCCCATCTCCAGGCAGCCTCCGGTCTGCTTTCTGTTGCTATGGTTTGCATTTTCTAGAATTTTGTATTGATGGAAACCTAAAGTAAATTCTCTCTGTGTGGCTTCTTGCACTAGGTACGATTATTCTGAGGTTCATCCTGGTTGTCCTGAGGGTCAGTGGCTCATTTCTTTCTGTTGCTGAGTAGCATCCCATTGCACGGATGCCCCACTGCTTATTCACTTACCTGCGGATAGACATCTGGGTTGTTTTCAGTTGTGGGCTATTATAAAAAAAGCTTCTAGGAACAATTCATGTAGAACTTTTAGCGGACAAGTGCTTTCATTTCTCTTTGGCGAGTATCTAGGGAAAGAGCAGCTGGACCCTATATTAGGTTGAACTTGACGTGTTCAATCATTCCTTTGGCTTCTTCAAGGTATGTGCACGTAATACTGCCACAGCCATTCTTTAAGCGTCCTAGTCCATTAATTACATCCTGTGTGTCCATTTGGGGTCAGTGCTGGTTGATTTTTCTTCCCTTATCAGTTATATTTTCTATTTCTTTGCATCCTCATAACTTTTGTTTGGTTGCCAGACACTGTGAGTTTAATCTTGTAGGATGGGGAATACTCTTTATCCTATGAATACCTTTTCCCCAGGTTCATAATTTATTGTAGAAATTGGGTATCGCATGTCAAGGTGATATTAGCCTCTCCAGGCATGTGAACTTAACAGATGGGGTACAGTTTAGAATCCATTTATGTTACTTTCACAGCTGGGGTGTTTTTTAGACCTTAACTTGATGTATGAGATCATCAGGGCAGAGCCTCTGTGTGTGGCCAGTATGCAATTCATTCCACCTGTGAGCCTGTGAGAGTTGAAATATTTTTTAATAGCAGAGAACTAGAATTGGGCATCAGTTTCTGGACCTTCCAGGATTCCAATTTCACCAAAGCCACAAATCCCACAGCCCGTGTCTTTCAACATTCCCAGCCACCTCTCCGCCCGGCAGGAAGAAGCTGCCTCCCCCACACACGTGGTCAACCGGCCACACCATCCTGTAAACAATTTTGAGTTTTGTTCTTGGACGTGGTTAATTTGCTTGTAACCACTTCAGTCCTTTCGGTCTTACTATATTACGCGTTATTACCTGGGGCTCTATCCACAGTGAGTCTAAAGTTAATTTTTCTCCACTACAGAGTCAAGACGCCTCTTAGAAGTCTGACCAGTGCCGTCCGAATTAGGAAGTTTTCAACTCTGGCTGTTGGAAACAGGTGCTTGTTCCAGTCCCCGTGTGTGGGCTGGGCACGGTTCCCTCCATGCCTTTCAGGCCACCCTTCCCCAGTTCCAGGTGTGTCCTCACTCATGTGCCCTGGTCAGCACTCAGCCAAGGTGCAAGGGGGACCCTCTGTGGTCTCCGGAGCCCCCCTGTGAAGCTCTCTCCTCTGAGACTCTCTGCCCTGTGGATCGCAGCTGCTGGGGTTCTCCCAGACCCTCAGCGCTTCTCCCCAATTCAGGGAAGGCACCCGGCTCTGAGACCTGAGAACTTTCAGCGAGCTGGGGCGGTCATACGACCGACCTCATTTGTTTCTTGTTCGTGGGTCCCTGTTGTTCGTTGTCTGGTATCCAATGTCTTCGGTACCATCGTTTAACATATTTTGTCTGTTTTTAAAGTTATTTCAGGCAGGCGAGTAAACCCAGTTCCTGTTGGTCCATCTCGAATTGAAATAGAGTTTTCTCTGTTAAGGAATTTTGCATCTGTATGTCATGGGTGATAGGTATCTGTACACATATTTTTTCTTCTAATATCTTTGGTTTGGGTATCGAAGTATTGCTAATTTTACAAAATGATTTGAGAAATGGTAATTTTTTTTTGTTTCATTTGCTCAAATGTTTTGGCAATATTTGCGTTATTTTCCTTTACGTTTTCAATAGAATTCATCAATAAAGACATTGGATATTGAGGTTTTCTTAACAGGAAAGTTCTCATTATGAGTTGAACCTCTTTAATAGATATAAGAATAGGACTATTCAGATTTTTCATTTCTTCCCAAGTCAGCTTGGTAATCTGTGTCTTCTGAATGTCTATTCTGTTTAAATTTTTGACATGTTTGACATAAAGTGGATCATTTTATTCCTTTATTACCCTTATAATAATTACCCTTATAGTATTTGTAGGCATTGTGGTGATGTGCCCTTTTTTATTCCTGAGAGTGGTTAAATGAGTTCTTTTCTACGGATGTTTTAAAAATATTTTTTCTTTATCTTTAGTTTTTGGCAATTTAAATCGTGTGTCTTGGTTTGGCTTTCTTTGTGTTAATCCATTTTGGTTTTCATTAAGAAACTTTGATAATGTAGTTTTCATCAAATGTGGAAAATATTCAGTCACCGATTGTTTAAATATTCATTTTTTTCCATTCTCCTTTCACTTTTTCAAGTACACATACATTGATAGTGTCTCGAAGGCTCCTTAAGCTCGTTTCTTTTTGTTTAATTTTCCTCTCTTGCTTCTGTTTGCATAGTTTCCCCTAGCATGTCTTCAAGTTCACTGATATTTTCTTTTATGCTGCCTAATTTGCTGCTAAATCCATCTAGTGAATTTTTTTTTCATTCTAGATACTGTATTCTTTAGCATAGAAGTTTTATTTTGTTTAGTTTTTATCTCCTATTTTTCTTATGTTCATATTTTTATTTCAGTCCTTGATTCTATTTATAGTATGTTGTGTAGGTTTAACAGCTAGTTCTGTCATTGCTGTCATTTATTTGTCTGCTTCTATTAGCTGTCTCTTCCCTGGCAATGCATCACTTTATTCTGCTCCTTCACATGTCTAGTTACTTTTTAACTGAGCAATCAGAAACTTGAATGTCACGTGGTTGAAGGCTGGATTTTTTTGGTTTCCTTTAAAGAGTGTTGAACTATCTTCTGGCAGGCAATTAAGTTACTGTCAGTCAGTGCTGTCTTTCAGGGCTTGTTTTTCAGCCTTGTTATGGTGGGTTTAGAGTAACCTTCGCTCTAGGGCTAGTTTGGCCCTAGGAATGACTGAGGCTTGACATTTTGGGGACTCTACTGAATTCACCAGGTGTTTGGAGTGACTGAGGCTTGACATTTTGGGGACTCCATTGAATTCGCCAGGTGTCTGCTGAGGTCTCTCAGCTCTGTGCAAACTCTGAGAATCTTTCATCTTAACAACTTACCTGCTTTCTTTTCCCAGACTTGTGAAATTTTACCTTGTGTGTATGCAGCTTAGTGTTGTGCAACAGACTCCAGGAGCCCTTGCGTGTTGTCCAGCTGTGCTGCACGGCTGTTTTGTGCCACCCCACGGAGCCTCTGGCCTGGCCCTCCTCGGAGCAGCCGGGTGGGGGGCGGGGCGGCGGGCTCGCACAGAGGGTGCCGATCGCAGAGTTCAGGGAAACCTCGCTTCTCTGCCACTTCTTGGCCTTACCTGCGTCCCCACCTGCGGCTCGTCTCAGGCATAGGTAACTCAGTGGGGCCTTCAGCTGGGGAGCAAAGCCAGCCATGGAAATAACGGCGCCCAGGACGGGAGCCTGGCGAAGACCTCCTGACCCAGGGACCTTCTCCGGCTGACGCTGCTAACGGGAGGGAAGGAACGGCGCCAGGCACGAGGGTCGAGCGCTAAAACGAGCCCATTCCTCACTCCCGGGCTGCCCAGTTGCGGGGAAACAAAGTGCTGCTGCCAGGGGACCCCCAGACCAGGGTCTCTGCCCTCTGGGTCGCTCCTGGGCCAGCTCCCTTGCTCCCTGGCGGCTGCTTAGAGCTGCTGCAGCCCAGGCGGGCGCGGCCCCTCCTTGCCTCTGCGCCCGTCTCTGCCAGGACCCCGGCGCCCGGCCGCTGGCTGAGTCCCCTGCGGCTGTCGGTCCTGGAAAGTGACTGCCCCCTCAGAGCAGGCTGCCTCCCCGCCCAGCAGGCCTGCGCCCGTGTACTGGTCCTGGCGGGGAACCACGAAACTGGTTCATTTACTTTTCTCTCCTGCGTTGGCAGAAGGAAAACAACGTGTCTTCAGAAGTCATGCTTTTATCCAAGAAATGAAAGTGTTTTCTGTAAAACAAATTTTATTATGTCAGCAGGAAAACCTCTTTTAAAAGTATTTTTAAAAACCTTATGTTTTGTGTTTTCCAACTGAAGATTAATTTATAATCAAAACATTTTTGGAAAAGATGAAGGCTAGGTGTTTTTATTTTATTCAGAAATAAACAAAGAGTTAGTTTCAAATCATTATTGATTGGGGACCCCTGTGATCACATGATTATTTTGATTAAGTGATTAATGCCACAAACCTTTGCAACTGATCTATTGATGTTCTACCTTCTTTTGGATTCTGCAGATACATTATTATTATTTTTTATAATCGATAGGCTTACAGAAATTCTGGAGACTGAGGTTTTCATGTTCCAACAGAAAAATTGCATCGTGGGGCCGTAATTTTGTTTCTCCAACCAGGATTTGGGAGAAACTGTTCTATTTTATGAGGAGTGTAGGTTTCAGGTGACTGAAGGCCCCTCGCCCTGTATTTGTTTTAATTAATATCAGCAAAGATTGGTCATTAATGAGTGACTTGGAATACAGTGGAGTGAGTGTTATTTAGACTAATTGAGTATTTAACAGTCTGTAAAATCAATGACATGGATAATAACTTATGTGGAAAACAAGAGTCGGTGCTGGGCTGGGCCCCACCTGTGACCTGCTGGGCCCTGCGATTGCTCTGGCCCCGGCTGCTCCACCCGGGAGCCTTGACGGACAGCCTGGTAATTAACAGGCAGCCTGCAGCCCCGCTGCTCTGTCAGGAGAGCCGGGGAGTTTTTCTCGGCTCAGGTCTATTTTAAAGAGGGCTAAGTGGCTCGCCCCAGGCGTGGCTCTGTGGCCACCTTCCCTCCTGACTTCCTGCAGGTGCACTTTGACGGCTCCTTCCCCAACCTCTCTCCCTGCAGGGGCGAAGTCCCTAATTAAAAGTGTGGCTTTCTAGTCCGCAGGCTCACACTTTTGGAGGCAAGGCCTCCTCGGGGTTGGAAGAACTAATTAGGCTTAATTAACAAATTTCAGGCATAGCTACCAGAAACCTGCGGGCTTGCGAGGGAAGCGTGGCCGTCCCCCACGTGGTGCTCCCCCTCCTCCCGCGCCATCTCCTCACGGATCTACGTGAGTGTCCTGTCGCTCTGACAATGGGGTCGAGTCTCCCCTGCTCTGCCGTCTTTGATCTTTGGAACGAAGCTTTGATCCTGCACTTCACCGATCTCGGAAATGAGTCCTTGGATCCTTAACGCCGCCGGAAGGTAGGAACCTTCAAAGAATCCCGATTCTAGGGCAGGCTCCAAAGAGTGTGCGTGAAGGGTGAGGCCGGGGCCACACGGAGCTCCACGCCCGGGGAGGGTCTGGCAGGAATGAGTGAGGAGGGGGCACGATGGCCCGGACGTGCCCCTGCCCACGCCGGCTGGGCGCAACCCAAGTGCCCGGAGACAGTGCAGGCCACGTAAGGCTGCCCCCGCTCAAGCACCTGCCGCAGGGGGATCCAGGCCACTTGCCTTTCTGGCTGACTCGGCTGCAAATCTTGGGACCTCCCAATTTTGGTAATTGAGTAGAAGGACTCAGTAAACTCAGGTGCGCACTGCACTCGGGGTACAAAGGGCAGCGGTGTGACCCGAGCCCACTGCCTTCTTGCTGTTTCCCCAAACTTATTCAGGCTCCTTCTCTGGCCCCGAGCCGGGAAGTAACTCGCTCCAGTCCCCGGCCAGGGAGTGTTGGAGCCCAGAGACCTGAACCCAAGGGTGCGTTTCTCCCAGATGTCTATGTGGAGGGCGCTGTTCCAGCCCCAGGAGGGGCTACCTGTGCTAACGGGCTCTTCCCGCCCGCCCGCGAGGTCTGAGGGTGCTGGAGGGGCTGCAGGGCGGGAAGGCTCCTGAACGCCTTTCCCCGCTCCCCTCAGGTGCGGGGGCTGCCGTCGATGAGGGGGTGTTCCCCGCCCCTCTCTCTCTCTCTTTCTGTGAAGGCTTCCCGACAACTTCAAAGGTGCTCCTCACCTGGGAGGAGTCCTGCTCCGTAAAGTCCAGGGAGTTACACAGTCCTGGGGCAACTGCCCCTGCAACTCAGGTGGGCACGAGAAGTCCGGGGACCCCGGATGCGGGTCCCTCCTGCCTGGGCCCGGCGGCCGTGGGCTCTGTGTGGCCGTGTGCTCCCCGCCGCCTCGAGTCCAGTGAAGCTTTTGCTGCTCCTTGTCTGCGAGCTCCAGTCTGGCCTCGCCCGTGTCTCTGCGGTGACTGCTGCTGGGGAGCGATCCGCCGGTGTGCCCTGGCTGTGGTGCCCACACGGCATTGCCCGAGAGGAACCTTCCAGAATCTGCCCCACGTGACGACGCCCACGGCACGTGGCTGGATCGTATCATGGAAGCAACACTGGGAATGCATCTGCTGGGATTCGAACGCACTGTGCCGTCTCCTTCCTAAACCCACCCACTCGCTTTGGGAAAAGTTTTATTCAGGTGAAAATGATGGATTTGGCTGTTAGTGAGGAAATTAAGACTAAGTGGGTGACGGTCAGACAGCAGGACGGTCGGCGCCCAGCATGCCCCGAGTGCCCGGAGGACCAGGCCTGGCCGTGTGGCCCCCAGGCGTGGGACTGTGCCGGGCGGGGCTGTCTAGGGCCCCCTGGCTGAGGGACCCGGCGCAGAGCAGCCGTGGGGTTTGGGGCCCAGCCCTGGTGAGTGGGGACAGTTCTAGGGTGGCTGCTCCACGCTGTCCACACCCGCTTCCTGCCCCTTGCTAAGGAGCAGTAGAGGGTGTAGCATCTGGCCTCTGTGTGGCTCCGTGGGTCAGGCCCCTGGTCCCCCCCCCAGGCTTCGTTTTTTTGGGCGGTTTTTTGGTTTTGCGTTGGGAGGGAGGGGGGTTTGGGTTGCCGGCTTGGGGGGTTGGCCCCGCCCTTGCGTTTGTTGCCCGTTGGGGGGGGGCTGGCTGGCATCACAGATATGGGGGGAGGGACCCCAATACAGGAGGCTTCACCTCAGCCCTGTCCCCACCCAGTGACGCAGCCCGGGTGTGTGCTGTGCCAGGCTGGTGCACACCCACGGCCAGGCGCCTGGCGGAGTCCTTCACCTGGTCCAGCACTGGCTCCGAGACGAGTGGCTCCTGTGGACAGAGCTGCCACCGTGGGCATGCCTGTGCTCAGACGCGCAGGGCCACACGCTCACCCCCTCGGGCTCACGCACCGCGCCTGTGCCTCCTGGCGTCTGGCGGGAAGCACTTTGCCCTGCCCTGGCCCAGCCTCCCTGGGAAAACCCTCTGTGCTTCTGAACGCAGAGCTGCCTTCCTCTGAGCCGGTCTCTGAGTCTCTCGTCGGCTGTCCCCTAAAACGGCTCGTGCGGCACCCACCGTCCGCCAGGCCCTGCACTCGGCTCGGGGGCGAGCGAGGTGCGTGGCTGCCGCTGCTCTGGCCGGGCTGCGGTTCTGCAGGGAGAGGAGAGGGAGGGGGAGGAATGGAGGGAAACCGGGAAGAAATGGACTCGGTTCTAAATCGGATAGCTTTGACAACACGCGGGAAAAGGCAGAACCTGTGGGAGCCCAGACAGTCACCTGCTGTGGGGATCAGCTTTGGGCAGTGTCCCGGTTCGGCTTTGTCATCTGCGCCTCTGACATGTGTTAATATTTTCAACCAGCCTTTAGAGCTGCAACTTTACGAAGACATGAACATGCGAACTATGTCTCGAGCAGAACCAAGCTTATCCTAAGGACCCGCCGCTGTGGGGGACGCACTCCAAGTGGGCTCAGGTATGTGTCTCCCATGCTCCGATGGGCGGCTGGGTCCTGGGGCCAGCCGGCTCTCAGGCCCAGCCCCAGCTGGGGCTGCTCTCACAGTGGCCTGAGCTGCTGGGGGGGAGGGAGGGAGTGGCAGGGAGCAGGGTGGCCTCTAGATCATCAGTAAGTGGAAGAGACAGGAGCCCGCTGGGCCTCAGGCCAGGAGTCAGCGGTGCACCCTACTCCAGCGCTCCACAGCTCGCTCCCTGCAGGGCTGAGCTCCCGGGCTGCCGGTGTGGCTGCAGAGCGGCTCTTCCCACCTGAGAGGAGTGAATGCAAAGGTCCTGGCACTGGCCACGCCGTTCCCGGAGGCCTGGGTGCAAAGTCTGTGAGCAAGTTCTGCGGGCCCCACGCCTGCCCCCAGGGCCAGGGGTGGCGTGTTCTGAGCGGGTCCTGCGGGTGGAATAGGGAGGCTGCCGCCAGCGTCCAGATGAGACTCTCGCTCTGTGGTCTGCGGGGGTGGGTGGGGAGGGCAGGGGCTGATGCCTGGGTTCTCCTGGGGGCGGTCTGGCGTTTTGGTTAGCCCGGTTCTTCAGTTCTTCGTGGTAGTCTGATTAACCAGGCGCTCCTGGGCAAGGGGCAGCTTGGCTGCGCCGGTGAGGGCTGCGCGTGTGCGAGGGGCCGGTCTCCGCCTCTCCTGACAGGAGCGGTGCAGACGCCGGGCGGGAGTCAGGACTCCGGAGGGGACCCCGGGCCCCAGGCGGTGTCTGGGCAAGTGGGGAGCGTCTCTTCCCCGGCATCTCCCTCCTCTTCCTGCTCCCAGGATTGACGCACCAGACAGGTGGGGACCTCCATGGCCGGGAGGAGTGAGGGCGTTCTGGGGACTTCTAGAAAAGGCTGGGATTTCTGATAAAAGGCAAGGGCGTGGGTCCCTTTGTGGTCAAGTCGCCGGGAGACACAGCATATCCGTACGTGAAACGTGGTTTGTGGAGAGGGGCCCATGATGCAGCGCCCAGCAGCTCGGGTCTACAGCCTGCTCCAGACCTCTGGCAGGTTGCTTTGTCACCGCGTGCCTCAGTCTCCCCATCCGTTAGACAGGGATGGCGATAGTACCTGACTTACGGAGTTGTGCTCAGCTTTCCCTAAGGGTTTGCTATTATTTTGTAAATTAAAAAATTAATTACACATACAAGACATGTACATGTGCTTGTCTAAAGCTCCGAACGGCGTGGAAAGACGGACAGAGGAAAAGCAGATCGTGCCTCACCCTCCCCGCCCATCACCACCCCGTCCATCACCACAGATCTTACTTTTCCACCAGAGGCAATTGCTGTTAATAGTCTGGCATTGTTTCTTCCAGAAATTTTTATGGGTATCCCATTTTTACATAAATGGGATTCTACTTTATTTTTACATAAATGGGGAGTATCTTGCTTTTTCACTTGCTACATATGTATTATACTAGTTTATCTTAAAACAACAGCCATTTCTTGTCCCACGGATTCTGTGGGTCCATGGGTCAGAATCCTGGCGCTGTCTGGCTTGGCTGGTTCTTGGCTTAGCGTCTTGCTGGATAAAATCAATGTGTTGCAGGGCTGTGTCCCCTTTCTGGAAGTGCCGGGTTGAATCCACTGGCAAACTTGTCCAGGCACTGGCAGAATGCAGTTCTCCCCCTATTTTATAGTCAGCTGATGAGCAAACTTAATTCCATCTGCAGAGTCACTTCATATGCATAGTGGGTGCAATAGCATCCCCTAAATTTCACGTTCGCCCAGAACCTCAGAATGTGGCATGACTTGGAAACAGGTCTCTGCAGAGACGTGAGTTAAGAAGTGAGATCCTGCTGGATTGGGGAGGGCCTGGAACCCAAGACTGACATCCTTAGAAGAAGAGGGGAGGACATGAGACATACAGAGAAACGGCAACGTCACTGTAGAAGCAGGATCGGAATGACGCCCGGAGCCCAGGGAGTGCCCAGAGCCACCAGGAGCTGGGGAGAGGCAGGGACAATGACTCCTTAGCTCTCCACAGGGAGCATGGCCAGGTGACACCTCCATCCTGCCTTCTAGCCCCTGGAACTCTGAGAGAATAACTCCCTGTTAACTTTTACGCCACCTGGATTGCGGCGATTTGTTCCTGCGGCCCTAGGAAGTGAGCACGGGCAGCGGGACCTGGAGGGAAGGTGTTTGGAACCCTGGCTCCCCAGTGTGCGGCAAAGTTCCTTGTCAGTGCCAGGCATTGCCATGGTGACCTATGCACGGCAAGCACGTTCCACTTTTACAGAGACGCTCTGTACCTGCGAGGAGCCGGTGTCGTTGCACAGTGATGTCCCTGGAGAAGACAGCCCTTCAAGCTCTCACTCTGTGATTAACAGCCTGGGTGTTAGAAACCAGAGGCAATTAATAAAACACATCTGTGGCCACGGAGTGCCGCCACAATGACGTGATTTATCGTGGAGTCAATCTGGACAGGCGGAAGGGGTGGAGGCGGAGTTGGGGACCTGGGCGATCTGGTCGTTCATTAAATCCCACGAAGCGGATGCAGCCACAGAGAGGGACGGGAGGAGCTTGCCGGCCAGTGGTGGAGGCTCAGGAGCTCCCACCCCTAAGGGCTGCAGCCGCTGGCACCCGTGTGCCAGGCTGGGCACGCTGGTGGATCCCACAGTCAACATGCCTCGTGCACTGCCGGCCTGCGCTTTCGGTAGGTATCGGGGCTTAAAAGTCTGCTTGAAACTATCTTATTTCCACTAGGAATTGGTAGTGTAATGATTTGAGTCAACAACCATTTGTCTGAAGGTTAAATGTTGGGTAAAATCTGGAGCAGGGAAGATCCTTTGGCAAACTCACCATCTGTTTGTGCTGGACACGTCCCTGCCCGGGACAGCAGGGGCGGCTGTCGCGGGCTGAGTCATCAGCGGCACTTGGGGAAAGTGGATTTGATCTTCAACGCCTCCTGCCGAGCGCTCACTCGCTCACCTGCTCACCTCACCTGGCCGAGCTCTGACCCTGCGCCAGGCACCTGCAGGTCTGGAACACGCCCCTGGAGGGCAGACAGGAGACAGGAAACCGTGAACACATCGGCTACAGCTCTTTCCAGATGGGAAAGAAGAAGCAAGGTGGGGTAGGGGACAGGCCGGCGCAGACTGTGTTCAGTGTTCCATCGTGTGTGTGTGTATGTGTGTGCGTGTGCGTGTGCGTGTGTGTGTGTGTGTGTGTGTGTGTGTCTGGGACAGGCTGGGAGGGTGGCCTTCGGACAAAGGCCTGGGGGAGGTGATGGGAGCAGCTATGCGGAGACCCCGGATAAGAGCATTCCTGGGGACAGAACTGCCTCGCAACGTGCCTCGTTTCTGGCATGTTCCGGGAGCAGCAAGGGGTCAGCTGGGCAGGAGAGGTACCTCATTCTCGGTGCAGTTGTTCAGGGTGTAAAGTCTTGAAAAAATGGGTTGAGCAAGTTCACTGTTGATCGTAGTTCATCAAACAAAGCGGCCTCTGGGCGCGACGTCTGTGTTTGATTATCTGGTCAACGCCTGGTCCTTTCACTGGGCCTTTCCGCAAAGCCGCCGCCCAGCAACTCAGCTCTCAGGACACCCTGTGCCGGGCAGAGTGCGAGTCCTGAGCCCTGTCTGCAGGCGGCAAGATGCTCGCCCGGGGCCTGCTCTGTGGTCCCGCCGGAACCACGAGGGCCTGCCCAGGTGCTGCCCGTGGGAGACCCCTCCAAGGTGGGCCCTCATCCAGGTGGGCAGGGATGCTCTCGGCCCCAGATGCTTCCTCTCTGGCTCCTGAAGGTGGGGCCAGGCCCGAGAGATAGCACTGCAGGACTTGCCCTTTGTCACGGCCACGGGGTTGCTGTCCTCTAGCCCCCGGGACTCCCGGCCGGCTGCTCCTCCGGGACTTGCTATAGCGCGCCTGCCCCCCAAACCCCCAGCCATGAAGGCACAGAGCTCAGCCCCCTCTTCAAAACCTGGCCAGAGGCGGCTGTCGCACCCCACGCTCACGCTCACGCTGGGCGGGGCCCCTGTGCTATTCACTCCCGCGTTAATACGGAGGGAAGCAAGGAATTTCAAGGGTGTGATGAAATTAAGACTCTCCTCTTAGCTGGCAAAACTCAGAAGGGAGTAGAGTACGTCAGCCTACATGTCTGAAGAGCAGGAGCCAGGAACCAGGCGGTCTGTGCTCACGGGACTTTGGGGCATAATACAATTTAAAGTCACCCAGTTTGCCGTGGTGTCTCTGCTACAGCACGCCTCGCCCAGGCTGATGAGATCCAGGCTCCTGAGCCGCCCAACCTGCTCTCTGCTCTGATTAGAATATCCAAGCGCTGTCCCCAGAAACGGGCCACGCCAGAGCTGCCCCGAGGAAGGGAGGCTGGGTTCTGCCAAACAGATGTCTGGGGTCTGCCCGCATGATCACCGGCAGCTGTGCTCAGAGCAGCCGGAAGGAAAGTCCCTGTTAGGACGGCGCTGCGTGTGTGTCCCCGCGCAGGGGCCCCGTGGAGCGTGGCTCGGCCGTGGCAGAGATGGGCACACTGTGGTGCCGATGCCCCTCCCCGGCCCTGCGCCGCTCCAGCCGCCCACGTGGCCGAGTGCAGCTCGTGACCCGTGTGATTCATCTCGGGCACTGTGGAAATGTCCCAGCCACGGAGGCGCCCGGCTTCCCTCCCACTTCTGCAGGAGAGCGAGTGGACCGACAGGCTCCGCCACGTTGGGGTCTAACCCAGAGAGGAAATAATCAGGCAAAAACTGAAAGAGCCCAGATTAGGGAGTTGCCCAGACGGGGCGCGTGCGTTCAGCCAAAATTCCTGGCATCGCTGCACACCACAGGGTCCTGTGAGCCGGGCGGACACCAACCCGAGCGCAGGGTCCGTGCGTGAAGCGGCCCCGCTCTGGGGCAGGGGCGAGGCCGGCGAGCGCTCAGCACACGCACGCGCTGGCCCCCTTATTGCACAAACGGGCGACGCGGCGCCAGGGCTCTCGGGGTGACCAGCACAGGGACGCTGGCGGGCCACCATTAACCGGCGGGCGGGCGTCTCTTCCT